GAATCTTTTCTAAATAAGATAAAAGTACCACAGGTATTAGTAATTCTCAGCTATAAAATATGCTACTTAAAACTATAATGCTTTGTCAGAAATTCTTAAGATTTTTTTGTAAATGGTTTTATGGTTAAAGCTATATAAACCCTTATGGATTGTCACATAATAGCTTTCTTAGTTTCCATTCTTTTTTCTGAATAATGGGAAGAAATGATATCTTCTTAGACTACATTATGGTTTCAGGCGTACATACTACGAGACTGCTTTCATACTGACAAATTTGTTTTAATCGGAAACCCATAAAATCCGTATCTGAAAAAAATTCAACTTTTCAAAACACTCCACCACTTGTCTTGATGTCAGCTGATTAAAATACCATAGACAGTTTTTATGACTGCCTGGCTGTCAGTTAGGATGGTTATTCTCTGATTATTATAATTAGGATCAAGAGAGAAGTATACACACTTGTCCATCGCGTAAATATCTCAAACTGAATAATATAGTAATTGATTTTAGTTTATATAGCAAACTGTGATATAAACACACCGCACGAAAAGAGTAGCTAATGTAAAATTAACAGTGCAAAACACTTGCAACACTACCGTCGTACCAGTTAACATGGACGCATGCGACAATTTGACGAATGTTAAAGCAACAATGCATCGCTTGAATAAATACGAGTAGAAACACAGTTTTTTTAACAGCAATTGCTCCTGCAAATGCAACATAATTTGCTTAGGCTGACTGACAATCGTGACGTTGACTCTGTTGGTTAAGTAATTCTTCCGAATTTAACATGCGCTTCGGTCTGTTTAGTGTCATGTTAATGTTTACAATTTTTGTTTTATTTAATTTGCATTAACTCTACTTTTCTTTGCAAAAGTGAATGTAAGTGACTTCCTTTCGCTTTTAAGACACAAAGAAAAAAATTATGCCAATTGAGACCGCAAAAATTGCATAATTTTGGACATACGAGTATCTTATATAGAGCAAGGTCGTGTCAGTGACACAAAGTTTGCAAATAATTTACACTACATCAATTTTTTTAATTAAAGATAAGTTTAATGTAAAGAACTGCATTTTTTAGACGAATGGATGATAAAACATAAGGAAAACAACTTAAACTGAAGGTGTAAAATTATTAGCAATTATATATTTAAATGTGGTTTAGCAGATAATGAATAAACAATTTTTTTAATTTTTAATTTATTGGCTTATTTTTTTGGAATATTTGAACTTGTTAAAGTTCAGATCATTTTAATTGCGACTTTCAATCACTTTAGAGCTTAGTTATTTAATCCAGTGGCGTAACTACATTTTTTAGGCCTGTAAGCAAATTCTAACTAAGGGGCCCCTACCAACATACTAAGGGGCCCCTCTTTTTATACTCTTTACACGAAAAAATGTGAAAAGGATATATAAGGTTTGTCAAGATTTTGGATATGAGGTTTCTCCGTTTTTAATAAAGGTATTCAAATGGAATTTGGTGTATACAGTACTGATATATGCAAAAGACAACGTACAAAATTATTTTCAAATGGGTTTAAATCTAGATATAGCTTCCATATAAGTCTCTCGATTAAGACACATATTTTTCTTAGAAAAACTTTTTTATTTTATAAATAGGGTTAATATTTTATTTGAAGTACATACATATTATGTACTTTAAATTTAAAATTTACGTATCTTTTATAAAATGCAATATGAAGTTATTCCAACAAAAAACGTTTCGTCCCACTTTTGAGAATTTATTAAAAATAAATACAATGAATACAAAAATTTATAGTGGGGCCCCCTAAATTCGGGGGCCCGAAAGCGTTGCTTCCAGTTGCTTCCCTGTAGTTACGCCACTGATTTAATCTATCAATTATTTGACATAAAATTTAAATAACTACATAAAACATTGTTGAAATTATATCTAACAAATATATGTTGTAGTTACACATTTACCATATATTAGACTTATCTTGATAGTAGAGGACCTATTCTCCATTAAGAGAGAAGGACAAAAGTAAGTCAGTGTCGTGATTATATATAAATAATTTGCCCTTATGACTATTTTAATTTTGATTAAATTTTATACAATAAAGTTCGCACATCTTACTAGTGCTTAGCTTATAAACTACCTGATCTTTGCTTTCAATATGAACAAAATACAACATCTAAAGAAAGATTCGGTCTTCTCATGGTTCACATACTCTTCAGAGAGATATATTACAAAACAATTATTTAATATTTGCTCAGTAAATTATAAAAATAATTGGACTTACAACATTCCTAAATCTTTGCTTATATCAACTATTATCAAACTATTTTATAACTTCAACCAAAGTTAAGGATGTTTCAGAAACCGCAATTCTCAGCTATTATAGGAACAATTATATAATCTCAAATTTTGCATATAAAGAATATAAAAAGAGTTCTAGTTAGGACACCAATAATCTGTAAAAAAACTATTAAAAACAAAATATGATGCAGAAGCTTAACCCGACGACAACCTGCGATCCATAAACACCACAAAGAAAAGACAACCTGTAATAGAATAAGACTAGAAAAAAAAGAGGAAGAAAAAAACAATGTCTGTTTCTGTAATAACAATTTCTAAAAAGACAATACTAGGCCTACACAATGTCTATATTAAGTACAAAGGCAAAACTCAACTACATACTTTCTTTACAAATAAGAGAACTTTCTTCAAAAATACAATAAATAACAAATTACATATAAAAGTATTTATTTTTACTTTATTATTTATAAATAAATTGATTATTTTAAAAACTAAACGAAGACTTACTCTTTCTACTTATAAGTTTATAAAAACCCAAAATTTTTATTTTAATTTTGATATGTCTAAAAAATTTTTCTTTCTTCTATTAAATTTGAACTAAAATAGTTTTTACTTAATTTATAAAACTAATCGCTTTTTATTTTGAACTACATTTTTCTAACTTACATAAATTTTTATTACACAGAAAAGTAAAAGTATTTTTGAATCTTTAAAAAATTTTAAAGGTCAATTTTTATTGATTTAAATATTTTTTATACAAAATATACACAATGGTTCGTCTTAGATATGAAAAACTTTATTATCATTCAGGGTCATGAATGATCCATAATTACACATAATCATACGTTTAAACTTGCACTCATATATGGGTTATTAACTCCAACCAACTGCAGGCCAGTCCAAGTCTGCGAGTAATTAACATCAACAAAAATGGTAATTTAACTAAAACTGGGAAAAAACTTTTTTTATACTTTAATTGCTTTTAAGATAAGAAAGTATATAATTTTCAAGAAAAAAAAAATGTGAGGAATATTTTTTACTCAGCTTTTTAAAGAAATTATGAACTTATTCTATATAGTATATCGAGTTTATGCTATCTTATATTTTTTTAATATATATTATTTTATCGATTTATTGTATCCATTAAATTAGTATTTATAGAAAAATATTTATATTGGACATTTTTCATGAAATGTTTTAATATTTTCAATATAGCAGTGGAATATATACAATTTTATACCTTCTTACTTCTTAAAACAATGTCTATTTACCTTAGTGTGTTTGAAGAACAGCAAGTTTTTTTTAAATCTCAGACTCTTTTAGAGAACCCTCTATACATAACATTTGATGTGTATGACATTTTCGACATTTCTTTTTCTTTGGTTCACCTTCAAATCAAAATACGAATATATAAGTCTGAATTGGAAAAATATACAATACAATCTATAGGAACTAATACCAATATTTTCTCCAAAAATAATATCGCACAATATGAAAATATAAATGAAATATATTTTTTCATATTTTTATTTAATTGAATGATAGTATAAAAAAAAAACAAATAATAAATAAATAAACAAAAAATATTATGAATCTAATACTTTTAAAAATACTGAAATTATTCATTTTATTATTAATTGAATTAAGATGAAATATTCATTTTATAATGTTAAAGTGCAATTTAAGTTTTTATTAAGTTAACTAACAAAAATATTTCAAATTATACAAACAGATATATGGCAATGGAGCACAAGACTAACTGCTGAGAGAAACACCACTCTAGTTGGTTTTCATTCAGAACATCTACAAGATTTGGACATACTGCTGACATTAAACAGTAGTTGAAATCTTCCTGATGAGAAGACGATATGCGTTATTATAATGATATTTTATTTCATTAAGATTACCCATGAGGATATCAGTCTCACATCGCCTGTTGAATAAAATGTGTTTTATATGATAGCACATATTTCAATGGACTTATATTGACCTCTTGAAAGTACGTCTTTTTGAATTCTATTTCTGTGTCCAATTTCAAAAGTTTAGTGAGATTTGCTTTTGTTTTTTTTATATATTAGTAAAATTCTTAGTAATATATTATGCTAAGATTTTAAATTTATTAATATAATGATTAATAAATGTACTCCCTAACATTTTCCCACCATTATTTCCAATATTATGCTATTTTTCACTCTTTCCAAACAATAAATACAAAATTTATTAAACATTGATAACTGATTAGCCTCTACTTTAAATAATATAATTTAATCTTAAAGTCAATTATGACGATAGAAAGTGTTTTCTCAACATAAACTATTTTTTAATAAAAATAATAATTGTATAATAATAAGAAATAATAATTGTTTCAATAGAGACGTTTTTTTTTCCAATAGTAGTAATATACCACAAGAAAAATTTATTAGTTTTAATTAATTGAATTTTTGGTTAACCCTACAGCTGTTTCAAGTATTACCAAATATCCATCATTAGTGCACTTTTTAGGAATATTTGTTATACGTTATTATTTGTAAACAATTTGTTGAGACTGCAAGTATGAAGTGTTGAACTCATACCTTCTCAAATTTGAAGCTCAGAGTCAATGTTAATTACCCAACTGACCCAAAGTCGTACTTGACTTGGAGTTGTTCTAACTTCTAGTTTTGTTTTTTTGCTGTGAAAGTTCATTAAAAAATTCAAGCTAGAGAATAATAGAATTATTTAATTAATTTATTTTTATATAGAGGTTTTCGAAAAATAGTGGACTACAACAACAAAAAATCATTTTTATATTATTTTAATAATTGAATTTTTGGCTGACCATACAGCTGTTTCGAATATTGCCAAATACTCATCATCAGTGGTCTTGGAAATAATTCTTGTATTTAATTAATCGTAAATAATTTTTTTTAAGACTGTAAGTACCAGGAATCGAACTCGTGTCCTGCCAAATTTGAAGCTCAGAGCTAGCATATTAAATTTCAAAACTATTCTTCTTATAGAGGCATTATTTATTGCATAATTTTTTATTATTTTTTTTTTTTGTATAAAGACTCTTATGTGGGACTTTAATATAAGGAAATGATGCTAATGATGGTTTACAATTCGCTATAAAAAATCAAAAATTAAAGAATATTTTTTATTTTATATGTTTGCTTTTGATTCCATATTAAATTTGATTTTGCGGTCAATTATGACAAAAGAAACTATTGTCTTAATATAAATTATTGTTTGGATAGAGAATTTTTTTTTAAATATTAGTAAATTACAACAACAAAATTTATATTATTTTTAATCAATCAATGCAGGCTAATTGGTAAAATTTTTTTATTGTTGTAAAAGAATAAAAATTAAGAAAAAGATACCACAATTTAATTTACAATAATTTTTATTTTACCGATATTTCGACTTTAATATCCTGATGATGACTTTAATAAATAATATATCTAGTTTTTGAATTAAGTTTTTATATGCTAATAAAATATATAAATTATTTATAGTTGTTGAGTAAACAGAAATTTAAATAACACTGGTAAAAATTATTATTTAAACACAATATCATGAATTATGTCCAAACATAATAATTATCAATGCAATCTAACAGCCTCTGCATAAATTAACATTTTTACATGCAGCCACTGTAACTGAAACTGCTCTAACTGTTAAGTAATATTTATATGAAATAAATTACCCAATTATCAAAATGTGATTCCACTGACCTTTATGAGCTCAGTGAAGCGTTTTCGCAGATCTTCAATGATACGGTGTTTATCAAACCATAAGAACGGTTCATTACCAAATTTAGTTGCTTAAAAATAAAAAAATAATTGAAACACGTACAAAATACTTCGTAATACTTGGATTCAAAGAATGCATTTTAGTCATAATTTGCAATAATGCAACAAATAAATTTTAATTTCTTAGTATATCTGGTTTATTCTAAGATAAAACAATTTTTTGCAATTTTGATATTGTAAAAAAATTAACAATATAAAATATTTATATTGTAATAAAATTAACAAAAATGCAATAACAATTTTTTAATTGCCCGACACTATAGCATATTTCAAATTATATTGAAACATTATTGCATTTTTTAATCTAACAGTTAGCTAATAATTTTTTATACAATTTTTTTTTTTTGTAATGTTATTATCTTTAAGAATGCTTTGTGGCATTGGTCTTCCGTCCAAGATGCTGAAATGATATCATAAAATGAAATCAATAAAGGCATTAGTAAAATTTATGCGCAAAAACGTGTTTCTGTTGCTTGCAAACTCACATGTTGCAAGCAACATTTTTTTGTTATCCGACACAACAATAAGCTTTTGTGTTATACATTAAAAACATTATTATTTTAATATATTTTATTATAGTGTAATATTTCGAATAAGATTGCGCGCGTTGATTTGATTGTGCAAAGTGTTTCATTCAACAAATTTCTTTACATATTTTTATGCAAACAAAGATGACAATAGTTTTGTGTTTTATGTTTTTTTGTTATTGTTTTTGTTTTTGTTTTTATAAAGCAATATACGCGCTGCTGATTGTATTTAGTTTTATTTAATTTAACAACAAAATTCGTGAATGACATCAAATCCAAGTTTAAAGGTACACAATTGAGTAAATCGCATCGCTTATTGCTACAAAATACGCATACGCAAGTCAAATTCTTCAAAATTAATTTGCTTACAAATAAATATAATATACATATAATACGAAACAACCAAAATAATAATAAATGAAAAAAGAAAACCGTTGACTTTTGAACCGTATTCCATATATCAACAATATCTCTTAAAATGCAATGTTAAATTTTTAACATAATGCTGTTCACTTAACAGCACGACTGCAAACCACTTTAACTTAACATAACAGCAAAGAAGCAACTGTGCAGTATGCATTGGCGAACGAGCACAATTATTATGCGGCAATGGAAAAAAACAAAAAACAAGAGTTAAAAACAATTAAAGTAATAAAATTAATAGAAAATGAAAACGAAATTGAAAACAAAAACAAAAATGTGTATGAATTAAATTTTTGCAGAGTATACTACGTAAACTCGTCATGTTTTTTATACGTAACGTTACCGTTTCAATGAGTCGCGAGTGAGGCCCCGAATTACGCATGGCACACACGCTTGCGCTCATGTATAAATATGTTGATTGGTACCAATTTGGTTATCATTCACATTTTGGCCACTGCAGTGCAGCAATCGTTTTGATAAATATTAAATATCAGCGTTAAAGTAACGTTTTTTTAAAAACACCAACTAAGCCAGATTCAAACATGACCGCCCTAAAAGTTTTCGTAAGTGTTATTATTTTCAAACAACGAAAAAAATTAAGTGTCTTAAGTGCAAAAAAAAAAAATAACTCGCAAAAAGGATATAAACAGTTAAACAGAGCAAAATTGATGCTGTTATGGAACTTAAAATAATAATAAAAAAATATTAAAAATAATAGCAATTAATGGACAAAAGAAATGATCATACAATAAAAGTTATATGGCAAACATATTTTGAACTCTTATGCGCCCAAAGCATTTGTGTAATTGAATTTGTGAAAATTGTTGCCAAGATACGAAGTTTTTGCAATTAAATTCAATCTTGTGTGATTATTATCATTTGAAAACGTTAACAGTGTACAGAGGAAATATATAATGAACGTTGTAATATCAAAGAAAGTAATGTAATTCATGAAGATTGTGTAATATAAACAAAAAGAAAAAGGAAAATCGTAACTATTATTGACTTTATTGACATATGACATGCAAAAATGATTTCAAAAGAAACAAGGTTTTAAAGTTGTTTTCTATTAAAGAAATATTAATTTAACAAAATGGATACATTTCTCTATAATTCATTGGATGAAATTGATAATAAAGAGATATATTTTAAATTAAAAAATTTAAAATTTTGCTGTAAAAGGATTTATGTGCAAATAGAAGAAAAAGGCATTTCTAACATCTCTGACTTAACACAGTTTAACAGTTCTAATTCTTGTTAACATGACTGTGACATCTCTGACTCTGAACATAACTATTATTTTGAAATTGACCAATTTTAAATCATAAATCTAAACCAAGAAAAATACATTGAAAAAAGTAGACATCCCTGATTTAACACAAATTTTGAAGTAATTCTAATTCTTGTTAACATAACTGTTATTTTTAACTTATTTGACCAATTTTAAATCATAAATTCAAACCAAGAAAAATGCATTGAAAAAAGTAGACATACCTGATTTAACGCAGTTTAACAGTGAAGTAATTTTAATTCTTGTTAACATAACTATTATTTTTAACTAATTTGACCTATTTTAAATAAAAAATCCAAACCAAGAAAAATGCGTCGAATGAAAGTAAACACAGGGATGTTTGCAGTTTAACAGTTCTGAAGCAATTCTACTTATTAACAGAATTGTAATTTTTAGCTTGTTTAGCTAATTTTAAATAATGTCTACAATTTTGTAATAATGAGCTTAGTAAATAACTCATTATAATAAGGATTAAATGAATATAAAAAACAGTTCTTAAAATTTTGTAAAAATTTTTATTTAAAGTTCTTAGACATATTTTCAGCTCATTTCTCGAAAATTCATAAAAAATAAAATTCATTCCCTTGATTGAAACTAACTTCTAGAATTTTGTTTTGAAATGAAAGACATGCAGTGCGGTATAACTGGAGAAATACTTCTTACTAGATAAGGTTAAATTTAGTTTGTTAAGTCGATCCAAATAATAGTTCATTATGATACCACTATTAAAACGTTTATTATACCCTACACCAAGAGGACGATCAAAAATGATATAAATACGAAAACGATATATGCTTATATATAATGTCGAAAAGAACTACTTGATTGTGTTATATTTTAATATTATAAAGAAATTTTAACTTATACTTACTTCAATACTTACTTACTTCTAAAATAAAATAAAATACATATTGTATCTCAAACAAGGTATTAGATATTAGTGTGGTACTGCTTAAGTAATTGTCCTCACTGAATTCAGATGTATATTAAAATTTGAGAAAAATTATATAAAATAAAGACTGTAATTAACTTCCAGTACTTTTAAATTCAAAAACACATTATTTACAACTTGACAAAAAACAATGTGTTACACAAAAAGTAGTATATATTCAATTATAAATAGAGCTTACAATGTCCTTTGGTTCAATTTTCTAGAACATTTATATAATTCATATTAGCTATAACCAGGGTCAAAATTTGTTATATTATCCATATAAACATTGTTTCTACATCTAGAATGTTGAAAAAATATCCTGTATTAATTGATATCCGGGCGCCGATTGACAATGAATTTAGTGAATTTTAATATTTTGACCAACATTTTTCACTTTCACTTTTTTAACTTTTTTTTTTGACTTTATATGTCTACTTAACTTACTTTATTATATATTGAAGTTTATATTAATGTACATATACAGGACATCTAGCGCCAATTAGTGTATGCAATTTATACATTGCCGCGTCTACTTGTCGTTTGTGGATTCTACATAATAATGCACTTTTTTATGGTGGATTCTACATAAAAATGTACATCCTTAAAGCACAATAACTCAAAAACTTTAATATATTGGCATATTTGGCATATAACATAATTGAAGAAGTTGTTCCGAATAGCTGACTCTACAAAAAACAATGGGCATGACCGAAAATTCTGAAACGCCCCAACTTGTATACAACTTTTAATCACAATATAAGACATCAGCAAAATATAATCGTTATTTTCTTCGCATATTTCGACTTCTATCACCGAAATTTCACAATAATTCAATTTTATTTATTATGAGTAAAATTAATAAAATAAAAGACATTTATAAGGACTTCTAATATTATCAAACATTATTTTTCTTTATCCTTATAATTTTCTAATAATCCTACTATAATATTTTTTTGTAGCTTTTTGAATGTGACTTTATTTCACAATACACACGATACTCTCAAAACAGTTTAGGAAAACATAATACTATAGATACCAAGCAGAACAGTAATAATAGTATTACATTATTATATATTGTATTATGGATTTATATGATAGAGGAAATCACCAACACGGTGACAAACAATTTATGGACTAACCGTGAAGACTGTAAGGTCACTAGAACCTTATGGCCTAGGTTGGACAAAAATAAAACGAAAAACCTTTTAGGCTTCAGCAAACCTGCAGTTCGTGTGCTTACTGGAGTACTAACGGGGCACTGTGCTATTGCACCGATGCTCCAACGGTAACGAATTCCAACAAGCGGATTATGCAGAAGTTCTTTAGATGAAGAGGAGGTAGAATCTACCAACCACTTCCTCTGTCTCTGTCTAGGACTTAAGACAAAGCGACATCTTGAACCTCCTAAGCATTTATTTTCTGGAGGCTCTTAGTCAGTTACATGATCTCCACTTTACCGTAGTTTGACAGTTCTTATGGTTTCAGATGGTCTTAAACCCTTTAAGCTGTATACAGTAACACAATGGGTTAAGATTCTTAGAAATTTCTTAATAACGTAACTCTAGACTTTTTGTATATACTTTATGAAGTAAAACATAAAATGGGTTTTAATGTATATAAATATAGATAAATATAAAAGATAAATTTTTCTTATTAAGTATAAGGTATTTATTTCATGTTAGTGTTAGTTTAAGTGTAACTATCGCCCAATTAACTTTATTAACCATTTATTTTTAAGTATTCATATCATCTTTTTAACTACTCTTTAATCAATTACTGCTAATAATAGCCGTTATTTTATATAACAACAATTTTATATACCACTTATTTCACCAGTATATATGAAATTATTATATTACATCGATTTATATAATTGTAATAATAATGCAAATATAATTTCTAGGTGATTTTCGCTCTCTTTGCCGTTTCATATGCAGCACCTGGATTTTTCGGCAAACAGTAAGTATCATATTAAATAATTACATACATTTAAAGCAATATAAATATTTATAAAATAGCTGAATATTAAAATAAAACACTTTGCCAAAAATTAATTATCTTCACAATCACATAATCAGAAAATAGCAACAAATTGTCAATTAACTCGATTGAATGCTATTTGATTCAATCAAGGTATCTAGTCTTTCGGCGGCCAACATTTTTATGCGGAGGAATTTGTTGACTAGAAAAAGTGTATAACAACAATAAAAAATAGCAATAATTAAAATTGAATATTAATGATAAATGCTGTTATTAGTATAAAAATTGTTAAACATGAAACCGCAGTGCCTTGGTCATTTGCCAAGTCCAATTGAATTGCTACTCTAATTGAAGTTTGCTCAGGTTCAATCACATCGAAACAGGCAACATATTATTACAGCGATTTCGTTCACATAATCTGGCTACTTATATTCCAAAAAACAGCATATTTTCATCGACTTTTCACTTTCCGTTGAAATTGAAAACTTAAAAATATTTAAAAAATCTATAAAACAAAACCAAAGCATTTTTACGCATAAGATTTTATATATTTTTTAATAATGATTTTGTGTCTTGCTTCCTTTTGCAGTGAACACCACACAATTCATGTACCTTACAATGTACACACAATCCATCATCATCATGTCGAGAAAGTGCCAATTGTGAAGCATATTATTAAGGAGGTGCCCGTTATTAAGGAGGTGCCTGTAGTCAAGGAAGTGCATGTTCCCGTCTACAAGGAAGTCCATGTCCCAGTTCACGTACACCATGAAGATCACCATGATCACCACGATATTCATGAACATCATGACTTCCACAAGGGCTGGTCATCCTCTGGCTGGTATTAAAAGGAATGTTCCAACATTCTTTGTAAATATTGTTTTCTAGTGTTTTTATATTTTTTTTTTTCGTTTAACTTTAATGTACAAATTGTAAAAATATTATTTTTATTTTTATTTAATTTTTATTTTTACTCTTCCAAATTGTTTTCGACATCCAAAATGTAAAAAATGTAAATATTTAAATAAAAACTTTTTAAAAATAAATTCACTTGACTTTAACATTGCACTACTGGCCTAGTATCATAAAGTCAACTATAGAATAAATACCCGGAAAGCGGTTGAGTTTGTGAAATATATCAAATAAAGAACTCAGGAGGCAAACTAACCAAACGTCTATTAATGTTAAAATTCAAAAGCGAAAATACAGGTGCATAGCCCCTACCGTACGCCTTAGCATTATGACGATATCCCGCACGTAGCGCTAACATGGAACCCGGCGTAGAGGCAGGACATCTACCTCAACCATCCTCTCTATTTTAGCAATCCAGGTCTGTTACATAATATTGATCTTTTAGACCTTCATTCTGTTGTTAAAAATGTCTCAAAAAGAGTATAATTTTATCACTTTCGTTTAACTTTGGAATATTATGACATTTTGTAATATTTCTATTAATGATCTATTGCGACACAGCTTTATTTAATAAATTTTAAATTTTTCTTCATTTACTCTAAATTAAAGTTTTTTCATCCAAAACTCTCTGTAAAGGTTTAAGATGAATGAAAATGAAGAAAATTGTAAATGCCTTAAAATGTTATTTACATTTTATTTATGTCAATAACTAAAAATTTAGTTATTTTATGTAAATTAATCTTTTCATAAACAATTAATTATATATCTAGTCAAGTAGGTTTCAACAATTTTAACATCTTATTACTTCCGCACTAGGTTCAATATCAGTGACAATGTCTGGTTATTTAGGATGTTGATTGTTATCGAACTGCCTCAATTTACAGCCTATCATTGTACATGGATGTGGTCGCTGTTTTTATTTTAAAAGTTAAGAGTTACACAACAAACCTATTCCTATATGATGGAAACTTGCTTTCAAACACATTTTCTACTCTCCTACATTTAGAAAGTATGCAGGTAAAAAAGTGGAAGCACAAGTCATTTTCAATAAATATACATATACATATGTACGATTCTTTGGGTGCTGCGAAAAAATGTGGATGAGTATGTCAATTACTAAAATTAAAAACGGTGATTTATTAAAAAATTTAGATGTGTTACTTTTTGACTTTCAAACAGTGAAGATTAGTTTAAGTAGAGAAAAGTTTATTTTGTTATACAATAAATGTAACGTTTCACAAAAAAATTTTTATGTACTTAAACCTTTTTCATATTAAACAAAAATGTTATCCTTTTATATTAAAGAAAAAAGGGGGACTGTAACCATTACAACACTCCTCAGAGTTGTTGAATTGCGAATATTTCTCATAGGGTTTGTAAGGGGAAATACTTATAGGTAAGCATTTAGATTACTTGCGCCTTTTGGACTTATTAGAATAAGGTGTACACATGCACAACAAAATCAAAGTGAAATGTTCAACAAATGATTTTCTCACTATTAATAAAGCAACAGCTCTATCAAAACTTTAGTAAGATGGCACACCATCTGTAAATGAACTTAATTAAATAAGGTAGTATATTCTTAGTGCTTGCACTTATAATCATAACTTACATTATTACTAATAAATGTTCACTTAGTACAAAAATATTGATCCAAAGGACATGGGCAGACAGTTTGTAGGATGAAACCAAATCGTAGGTAATCCCTCCGCTCTTATACCACGCAAATCAGTTTTGAAAGTCACTGTTATCCAGCTATTGCATTAAATTTCTGAATTTCCTAAGGTTTTCAGCTACATTTTTAGTGTACATAGTTAAAATAAGATGATAAGTAATAAGAACTCATTTATATTTTATTTCAGGACATCGAACCGGACCCGGAACCGAACCGAAAATCGAAAACCGGAAAAAACCGATATTTTTGCTGGAACGAAAACCGGAACCGAACCGAAAAAAATATATCGGTTTATTTCGGTGCAGCACCATATAGTTTGGTATCTGGGCATCTCTTTCTTCAGTTGTTGAATTTTTATTTATTTATTTTTTTGAAACATACTTCAAATTGACTAAAACTTATTACCATTAATGGGTGTTCCTTTCAAATGTTGGGGTATTCAGGATTCAAAAGAATAATGGACCCAATAGTGGCTGCTATAGGTAATAATTTTTTAGTTAATGACGAAAATATTTAATTGTTAATACCTGAGACGGCTTCTAAAATTATAACTAAAATACGTACAGTTTTATATAAAAAAATGATTTCTTTGACATAGCTGCTCGACTGAACAAATCAATTTTGCGAAGCAATGCACAGTTGGTAGTAGACGGTAAAATAAATTTGTTTACGTTGGGAATGATGAAATTGAAAAGTAAACATACAGAAATTTATGTAAAAACATGGTCGAAAAAGTCATAGAAAAATATATAAAATTGATGCCCAGCAAATCTATTCGATTACTACAGATAATAGAGCGAATAGATAAAGCGAAGAAGGTTATTTCGTTATTGAAGCTGAATGTGAATCTAATGATGACTAAGATGATAGCATGATTTTCGGAAATAACTTTGATTTTAATATTGACACGAAATAAATAAAGAGATTAATATCTCTTAATTAATTAATTAATTAATTAATTAATTGCCGGAACGAAAAACGGAACCGAACCGATATATTTTCTTTCTCTTGAATCGGAACGGAAAAAATTTCGGTTCGATGCCCTGTTTTATTTATAGTTAAAATAGACCTCTGTAATAGTATGGTGGGTGTTTAGGGTCTATTAAGATCTGATCTCAAAAAACACTTAATATATTAAAAAATTTCTTAATTGCTCTATCCCAGGAATAGGGTTTTAAATTCTGAAGCACCGATGAAATTCGCAAAACTGTTTACTGTAAAATCTGCATTGAGATCTTACTCTATTTGATATCGATAGGAACAAATAGGTCTGTGTGTTCCTTATACCAGTAAGATACAGCTAACCTATACTTTAGTTAAAGTAAAGTATAATGGAAGTCTTTGTTTTATGTGTTGATGCAAATACTACTTTGAGTATCAGCAAATTGTAGGTACGGTATGCTAACCAAATAACTCTTCTACTTCGATGCATCATCAATCAATCGACTTAAAACGCTGTTACTTATGTGCATAATTGATTTTTCGTCTTTTTTCATTAAATCAACGTAAAATTTATAAGGGTTTAATAAGATGCGCTTATCTGATTTAATGTTTGACAAATCAATATGTAATTAATTTCGTTGATCAGAACTCAGAAAATTTCAGCGACTCTGATGGCTACGTCTCTGCGTAGTGACCAATATTATACAATGGGACTCTCTTTGAATACAGTGTTCATTTTTTGTGAATATAACAATGTCACTATCACTACAAACATGCCGCTAAATACAAATTAAGTGACACCACTACGTTTATGACTTAAAACTTAAACAGCCCCTTTAATCCCAGCTAAACACGTATGCGTGTCCAGATTTCAAATTAACGAAGAGTGATAGACTTGATTGATTCAACTCTAGAAAATCTAGCTACTATTCTCACAATTCAATTATCAGAATATTTTTGTCAACATAATAATCTCGATTAATACTGGTACTTATTAACACTTACCATTACCCCATCAGAAAATGTGAACGAGTCCGGATTCCAAATCAAAAACACACTGATTTAGAGTTGGATCAATTAGTGACACTTTAGTTAACTAGTGATATACTAATTGATCTAACTCTAGAAAATTGAGCTCAATATGATCTATCTACAATCTATTCTCTTTAGATGCCTATTCCACCAATCCACTAAAAGTATGGTTTAATATGTATTAGTAATCAAAAATGATCCAAAGCATTCACATGGCCCCATAGAATATGGTGAAAGTTATTTGGGTAGCCTACAGTTAAACCAAGAAAGAACACAGTAGTTACACAATTTGACTTTCAAAATGGTTTAAGGTGTCCATGAAGTCATCTGGAGCAGACGATTGCCCGCATTCTTGATGACTTGGTGAAAGGTTTCTAACAAAAGTGTGATGAGGGAGATGCATGTCATGACTATTGGTGTGATATCCTTGTTAAATACATTAGATTTTCTATTATGTTCATATGATGTGCTATTATGTAACTATTTGTTTGTTATTCTTCCATTGTACATTCCCATGCAATCCAGTCATATTATAAAAAATGCTTACTACCATCGCTGGATTTATTTTTGTAATTATTTGCTAGTCCATAAAGCGACGTACTATTTCTTTTGAGTAATAAATTAAATTTTATAAAATAACTTAAAACTGCAATTAAACGCATTACGAAATAGCCAATGGTGACTGCAACATAGCAGATGCCTCGGATACTTAATTGCAGAGGAAAGAGGAAAATCTTTTGCACACATAAGTATGGTTTATTGTCTATTAATCGGGTTTTCAATGTGTAATGAATTGCAATGGAAAACTTTGCGGCTGCGTTTGATAAATATCTGCTAAGTATATGCTGTGCATTATGAATGAGTAAACTAGGAATTAGAGATCATGCAGGTGACCAGTAATTCAGTTCAAAGCATGTTAAACACGTTTGACGTCAATTTAATGAGATATTTTATGCTCAACGTGGACTTGACCTTGCATTATTTTGTATGATTTGTTATGGAGTTTAGAATAAATTGAAAAAATTAATAAAAAACTACTTTCACAAATGCAGTTACGCGCCGTTGAGGTTGACAGATTTGTGGGCGTTGCATGTCAATTGTCACATACCATAAAGCAGGTTAATTAATTAAAATAATTTACCAAATAAACAACCAGGCAAACAAAGTTTGTTGTTCAACAAACAAGAACAAGTGACAAACAAGCGATTGACTTTGAACAACGCCGATGAAAATGAAACTACATAGAAGGTCAAGACCAGGTGAGATAAGCAACTTAAAGCTAATAAAATATTATCCAAGAATAATGAAAGTACATGAAA